GTGAAAATTCTACTATCCTTCAATTAGCGCTAGTTGAGCCAGAGAGAGAGAGAGAGAGAGAGTAGAAGAAAGAAAGAGAGGGTAGGAGAGAGAGAGAGGGAGAGAGGGAGGGATATTAAAATGAGATGAAGATTCTGATTTTACATTAAAATAGTTGTGCCGAGTTGGAAAGTGCTTTTGTATAGTGGTTGGATTACAAGTACTTGACATAAGGATAACATAATGACGAGCGAGTTACGCTATACAAAAGCCCTTTCCAACTCGGCACAACTATTTTAATGTAAAATCAGAATATATATAGAATAAAATATAATGTTGAGTAAAAAATGTGAAGATATGTATTTAATGGGTAATAATTTGAGCAGCCTTAGATGAGAGCGAATTTGATTAATGGCTTTTAAGCGGCTACAGTAAGTTACCTATCAGATAAGAAAAGTTAAATTTTTAATATGCCGAGCTAAAAATGAAAAATACGAGGGTTACCGTTCATACTTCGGAATATGGCAACCCGAACAAGCTGGCAACTGATAACTTTATCACAGAGTTTGACATTTTCGTGGTTAAGCATACTCAGAACATTTTGACATACGTGCGTTGCTTGTGTCGTATGCAGTTAAAATATTCATCTCGGAAAAATTGATATGGAATGGTAAAACCACTCTAGAGGGTGGAAAATGAACTCAGTTTTAGTTTAAATTCATTGTAAGAATATGAAAAAAGGAATAGAATTTCTTTCCATTTCATCGAACATATATTGAAGTATAAAAAATATACTTTAATTGTTTTTTTTTTTTTGTTACAAAATGGCAATGATAAAGTCCACGGTAAGACCGATTTCTTCTAAAGCATGAGACCTTCAACAGAAAAGGAAAAAGTTTTATGATCTGCAAACTAAGACCTTTGGAAGTACGTTTGGATTGATTTTTGACAAAAAAATACGCACTAAATTATTAAAGAAAAAAGTTCATATTCAATCGAAAAAAGGCTACGTACTTCCAAAAAAAATTTCGTTTTCCGAAATCCTAGAGTGGTTTACCCTCGTGACTCAACCTTCCTGAAGGTCGTCCAAGATCAGTGGTTGTACCCGAAATTATTGTTGCTGAGCGCAAACTGATATTGCAAGAACTCTAATGTGACCTATCGTGAGATAAAGACATTACTTGGACCAGCATTAATTACAGACGGCAAGAATATCTGTTCCCATTATATCCCATACAATTTGTCAACCGTTCAAAAAATTACTCGCGTCGATTGGTCAAGAAAAATTTAAAAAAAATACGATGGACTACTGACAGGTGATAAACTATGGATTTAAGCGTATGGCCCGGGAAATAAACTGAAGTCGACTGTAGGGGCATTTAAAGATGAGCCGAACTCAACAAATGTTTATGCAGAAAAACTGCAGTTATAATGTCTAGCCCGATATATAAAACTGCCACTTTGTTACCGCGACTTTCGGCCAAGTCGGCCCTCAAATTTATGATATGTGTCATGATGATTTTATAACACAAAGAGGGACCTAAAATTTACTAAGCCGTCTCTGACGGTCAGAAATATACCCAAGAAGGGTGGACTACTTATGACGAGGGGCGAAAGCAAGCAGGAAAAATATTTCTGATTAATTTTCAATAATTTTGGTTTCTGGTTTGACTTATTAAGGCAATCCAATAAAATGAGCAATATATTCATATATCGTGGGATATTATTTGATGATAATTTAAATACAATAAATTGGTTGGTTTAAAAAAATGTGAAATTTACGATGTTAATTATCGAATGATGTAGATAAATACCCCCGACAAAGGAAAATTTCTTACTTAAAAAACTTCTAAAACGTGACCGAATGTTTGCACAGTTTTAATTGGAAACTTATAATTTAAGTGTCCATTTCCTAAAGCTGGCTTATGTCAGCGATAATCAAAATTTTACAATGGTTTGGAGCGTCAACCACTTAAGTAGTTTAAATAGCGGTTTCAAAAACTGTTGTCAACTTCAAATAAAAATATAACACACTTAAAAAATATTAGAATTAATACTTATTTCCCACACTATTACATAAACTTCACATATGTGCATATGTACGTGCGTGTGTACGTAGTGCCACTGACTTTGACTGATTGTTATGCGTCGTCAAACAGACGACACATGTGCTGTCAACGCCGTCAGCAGTTTATTTAAAAATGAATTTATCTATTTATGTGATTTTTGAAAGTGTAACCAAAAACCGAGCAGCGTGCAACAGCAACATCAACAGGCCTCAATTTCAAAAATATTTGCATGGCGACGTTTTAAGCGTCACGTGAGCTTGAGTAAACAAAAATAAAAACAGAAACATAAAGAAAGACACACATACATATGTATGTGTATGTATAAATGGGAATATCAAAAACACATTGTCCTTTAACTTTCACCCTTAATGCACTCTTACTCCGAAGTGCACTTTCGCTTGAGTGTAGTTGTTGCAGCAGCGGTAGTATTGGAAAATAAACAACTAATATAGCGTTTGCTGTTGTTCTTTTTGTTTTATTAGCGTCAATGTTATTGTTGTTGTGCCTTTTTGACGTTTGCACGTATATAAATATTACTTTAATATGACAGCCACCAAGCACGTGTATTGGCTCAAGTGCACCAAAATGAGCGGGTAAACACATACTGTGTATGTAAATATATATGTATATGTGTTTATGAACTTCTGGAAGTGCCACAGTGGGTTACCAAAATATAATTCATCATTTCTCTCACATGTAAATATTAAGTAAGTGAGATATATATGCATATGTATGACTGCAACCCCGTTGAAAATTGTCTGGCACACTCCGCACTGTCATCACCAGTTACGAAAATAAAATGATCATTAGCTTTGGCGATAATGTCATTAGAATTTCTGAGTATCATATACAGCAAGAGCGAACGTATTAAATGTTAAAAGATTAAATTAAACATAAAATATTTCATTAAATTATGAAACGCAAAAAAGTTGCTGCTTTAGTCTTCCTGCTTTCAGATCTGTATGAAGGTTGAGCTCTTTTACTTTAAACACTTCCCCTTTGAGTTGATTCATACCCAAATTCTCAAAAAATAGTTATTGTTGCAAAAAATGTGCTTCCAAAGGGTAAGATCAATATTCATTATCTCAGCCGGGTTATTTAAGGTTTGAGATTCGAAATATTTTAACTAGTAATCGAGGCATAATTAAGAAGAAAGTGACTAGCTGATCCATCTCTTCTTTCAAACAGGCTTGAAAATGAAGTTTCGGTATGACTCTGAGCCCAATAGCGTCCATGTCCATCGGAAAATTACCTAACAGAATTCAAGCTGCGGGTGAGAGTTCTCATTTCGGTAGAGGAAGTTGCATTACCGACCTTTTGCAATTAACTCTGTGCCAAAATGATCTTCCCACCACGTATGTAAGAGTGCTCACATGAAATTCGAAACGCTTACGAAATCTCTATTTCTCACTTTGCTTCTCAATCGCAAAGAAACTTTACGTAACAGAGAGCAACAATTTTTGAGTTTAGTATAGACAAACTCAGGGAAATAATAAGGACTTTGCTATCCGAGTATAAATAACCTGTCAATAGAGTGCACTCCACAATAACTCCACCCCAAACTTCCGATCACGAAGTTAAGACTTTAAGAAATTACCACTATGAGGTGTATATGACTGGCTGGATCATCATGCTGAAATCATCAACACAACTTCACAGAGTTCAGGTTCCAGCTTCTTCTCTTGGGTTTGTAACATAGAAAAAGTTTTTTTTGGAATCTTTTTAAATCTGGAAACAACTCGTGTCACACTTCTTTACAGTAGATAATACAGTGCGTCTACTCGGTCTACCTACTATTGAAAATGGTAGAGTATCCACTCAGAAGAAATTTCTTTGTTGACGAACTCTTGTTCGATAATAGTGATAACTCTGTCATCCACCAGCTTTCTTTTAGAATTCTCTTCATACTTTCAACTGCTACCCTTCTTCTTCTTCTTTTAAATTGGCGTTGGTACTATTTACGCATGCCCGTTTTTTCTCTTCCCTTGGAGACTCCAAAGGAAACTAGGTTCTTCTCCACCTGATCTTTCGAGGAGACTAGAGATCTTCTTCTTCCTCTGCCTTACGGACACTTAATCGAAATATTTTAAAGCTGCGTTGTTCGTCATTACCGATACGCAAAGAATAATAAATCTTCCACAAAACTCCAATTGCCTGAATAATTGGATCTTAAAACCGTTGAAGAAATTTTCGGCCGAGCTACTCCTCGAATATCTGGAGTGCGTCTTCATGTTTTCCTATCAAATGGATTAGCTCTGTTAGAAATACAAACGTAAGGCTTGACATTGGCTATAGAGGGACCGTCGCAATCGGAAAAATTAACTTTTTAAAATTTTCTATTTTGCTCAGCATTCGAGCTCTGGCCATTCGAATGTTAGTACGAAATCTACACGGCAGACGCTAGTGACAGCAATGTTTCAGCTGCTGATGCTGACAGTATTAAAGCGTGTTACCTTCTCTCTGTAGTGATGTAGGACTCATGTCTTATTTCGCTCACTTGGTTATTCAGTCCCTAAAAGAGGAATGCCTCGGCAAAGTTAAGAAGCTCCGAAGATAATACGTAGATTTCTGACCAAATTTTTATTTCTTCATCGAACGGAAAGTAAACAAAGCTCAATAATAACTCCCAGGAATTAATATCTGCTTCTTCAAAGGATTATATTTATGGAAATGGTGACCACTGATTTAGCAGAAAATAATTTGAATGGAATACTCACTTATTTGGTGGACTCAGACGACTCTGTTAAAATATTAGTTTAGAACTAGAATTATTTCCAACAAATTTAGTTTTTAATAGTGGAATAACTCTAGTGATGAAACTACATGCAAGCTGTTTGTTCAAAACCTAACCTAATTATTGAAGGATTCCGTTTCTATATATTCTAATGAAGAATGGTTGTGCATATTTGTAATCCTTTTAAATTAATATTAATATATTTAATTGCATTTCAGAAGTTTTAGATATAGTCCAACTGAGCAGAGTACACTCACCACTACTGTCAGCAGAGCAGCGATCCTCAACAGCCATCTATCAGTCTTATGAAAACCCGAAATATACAACAATGACCAATCCATACATCACAAACGGCTACAGCTATGTCAAGGAAGAGCTGCTCTACAACTCCAATGGTAGACCACGTTTTTGGAGCTTAACCGGCGCCGGAGCCGAGGAAAAGTCCATACTACAACTTGGCAACGGTAGCGATATCAACACCATGTCACGTGAATGGCCTACGAATTATACATCACCAACTTATGCGCCCGCAACGCCGACGACAATGAAGCAAACCTCGGTGGTGGCCACGATTTCAATGCAACCAACTTCACCGCACGCGCAAGTTAATGGCCAACAGCGTTACGGCGGCGGTGGAGGTGGCGGACAACTGACTGTGACGCCGCCGCAAACGCCACCGAATCAACTGCACACTTTCGCTGGCGCTTTCCCACATGGCAGCAGCAGCGGCAGCCTGCACACGGCCAATCGAGATGTGAGCGCCTATAATATTGGACGTAGTGAGGAGCTGCGCAGTGGCTGTGCGTCTACAGCTGAGCTCTATTGTAAGGGTCAGGATTGTGCGTGATTTTGTGCTGAAAGTAGGGGATAGGTAAATTTGGTTGTAAAATTTTCGTACACGAATTTTTGAAATTATTTAAAAATATCTCTCTTTACTTGCGCATGCTAACACTCTCTCTCTCTCTGCAGGAGTTTAAGGTGAGTTCTTTTTTAGGAGAATAAATTTGCGAGAATTAATTTTGCTTTTGTAGCGTGTTTAATGAATTATTTAAATTTAATTGCCTGAAAGTAATTTTTGGTTTTGATTTTGATTTCTTCATTTCTTCTTGATTCAACATTCACCCATTCGCTTAACCCTTCTAAGTCATCAACCAATTAGTTTCTGCGTTTCTGCGCGAAAATCAATTAAAATGAAATGCCACAGATAATTGCCAGATAAATTAGACACTTCATTAACCACCAGGAGGGCCAGGAAAGAGGGGAAAGTTGAGATACGGACGGTGGTTGAGGAAAGAGATGGACAGCTGGGCGAATGAGGGTTGGCCATCTTTCAATCATCACTCAAACGCGCCCACAGTCAGCTCTTCAGTCACTCGTCTATTTAACAGCAGCTTTTTAGCCTCCCAACGGCTGTCCACTCACTACCCATTCAGTCAACCTCATTCACTCACTTGGCAACAACACCCACGAGTGAAGTGAAGTCATCTAGAAAATTAAATGAAATAATTAAATCTCAATCAGAATCCATTAAGCTTAACTGAACGTCGCCAGCAGCAGTGGCTGCAGCAGCGACAGAGACAGCCGCCTCATTGGCTACATTGAAGTCTGTCAAATTCGCGGTACACTTTTCCTCTGCGCTGCTTGCAGTATTCCCCTGTGTACGTGCGCACGTCGGCACGTATGTTTGTATGCCTGAAAACACTTAACACAGTCCGTGTTGCGATTTAGTTATCCAGCCAGTGTTAGTTCCTTATGCATAGACTCAGCTGACCCCCCATCCCACTGTGAATTTGCGTGCCTCTCATCCTTTATGTGGCGTGTGGCAACTAATCTATTCACAGGCCAGGCACTTCCTTCCTTTCTTTCATCTTCCATGTAACTGAACTTCTCTCATTTCGCACCACCAAACCGCTGGCTGGCTGGCGGGCTGGCGGGCTCGCTGGCAAGAAGATGATGCAAGGCATAATATACTGGTGTGTAGTGATGGTGGATGAGTTGGCTTGCTGTTGCGCACAGCGGGGGGTTAATTCGTTGTGGCTCACGCAATTTTAATGCCTGCTTAAGTATTTAACTACACTGAACTCTGAAAAGCAGGCTGGCAGCGAAAAGAAAATGATATATGCACGCGCTTCGAATTTATAGTGTGTTGGCGGATTGGTTGCCAGTAGTGGAAATATTCGAGGTAATCACTATGGAATGGTGCACAAACAAGTACGCCGATCTCCAGCTTGGATTTAGAAGACCCGCCTAAAGTTAGAAAAAAGTACTTCGAATGACAATTACTCATTTCGGCATTGACACGAAAGAGCGCTCATATCATGACATAAGCACAGTTGACAATAAAAGAGTTATTATATTGACACAAAGCTATTTGGCGAGCTTCCGTCATTCTGTAGATTGTTCTCGACAAACAAGGAGAATCAGCTCTACGCAATTTCTCTCTGCAGTATGCTATGCTCCTTACTGAACCAGATTATTGCACGATGTTGTCAGCAACTTCAGGTCAACTTGCTTCAATTTATACTTTAAGACCGTAGCTCTGATTTACTGTAATGAATTAGGAGTGTGATTGGACTGTGAAATAATCCATGTTCTTGAACCATATTCTTGACGTTGAAGGCGATGTGTCCATTGAGTAATTGTTCCGCGATTGCCTCAGTGGTAGCGCTAACAGGATCAGACATCATCTCTTAAAATAAGTTTCGTTACCACGAAAGAATTTACGACGTTCATGTATGTTCGTTTCCGCCTCGAACTAAATCATCAAAATGCTGTAAATGCTTTGACTTCTCTTGAAGTGATCATAAGAGCGCCGCAGAACAGTATTATTACAGTGCTGAAGGCGCAGATGTATTATCTTAAGATAAAACTGTATGTGTGATAATCAGTTATAAAAATTGGTAGAAGCCAGTGCGTCTACATCTTTCCAAAGTAGATTAGAATATGAAGACATCACTGGGCATAATATAAACCTGGCGTACGCAAGGCTTGACCGTTCAGTCTTGCCAGCCATAAGAAATCTCATAGTTTCAATACATTTAAGAACATCTTTTAGAAGATGCCCGCAAGTAGATAAATAATTTTTATTACAATAATATCACGTAAACTTCTATAACTTCTCAATAAATACCACCTTATGCGTTCTTAAAAGGAGTGTGGCATATTCAAATCTTACAAGTCGGTTAAAGGGAAGGGAAGTGGTTTTCTTTGCAAACTTATTCGCCATATCGTTACTTGACTCAGAGCGCAGCTGCTTAGGTGTACTGCATCCTGGTACGACCAACATCCAAAAGTTTTGGAAAATTAACTTAAATAAAAAATGTAGTTAAATTTCTCTAACTGCGGTCGCCCTTCGGCAGGGAGTGTCAACCCCTCCGAGTGTGTTCCTGAAATGAATTAAAAGATTCTCGTAAAAAACTGTCAGCCGTACGGAAGCTGCTTAATTAAACTGTCGGTACCAGCTCTAATAGACAAATATCAAAACGCAAAACCACAAATTGGAGGCGGAGCTCGGCCGAAAATCGCTTCAGCGGTAACAAAGCGCCGATTATATATATGTATTGAGGTAGCATCTACTTCTGACATATCGTCTCAAAAAGTTTGGTAAGGCAGAATGGGCTAAGAGCATTCAACCGTCCAATAAATCATTGTAATTTTTTTTTACATTTATCTTTTTGAATTCAAGCTCAAGGCAGTTATAAGACTGTACTTTCAATTGGGAGAAATCTTGCAGACAAAAATTTAGAAATATCATTCTTATCAATCATACGACCTTCAACTTCAGTAAAAAGTTATCAAACCCTCGAGGAACTTACGCGTAACTCATGCGTAACTCATCTCAGCATCAGAATGGAAAACAGCAAAGTACTTTAAGCACTAGTTTTAAAGATGTTTGAATGGAATGTGCCCACACCGCTTGCAGAAGAAGTCGCAGTTTCAGAATTCAATAAACCAAATCCGAAACTTTTCCGCCAGCAGGGCAGGACCGCACAGCTGGGGCGGAAGTGGCGACAAGAATGCAAGAGGACTTAAAGCGAGCTATTTATGGAGGGTTGCAAAGACAATCCGTTCTTTCTAAAGCACAATTCATGCCTACATACAAACATGCTGCATATGAATACATCCACGCGTGCATATATTGTATGTGTATGTGTGTTTGGGTGTGCAACACCAGTGAGCTTGTGAAAATTTATTATGCGCAATGCAATCATTTATCAGCGGCGCAGCATCTTTCATAATCAGAATGCCAGAAATGAGGCCGCACAATATGCAAATGACTTACCAACACCAGCAACAACAACTACATGAATATTCGCATGTGTTTACTCGTATGTGGCATGCGAGCGCAGTAGTGCCTGCTGCATGCAATGTGGCACAAAAGTGGCTGAGGTAATTTTTGAATTTATCACCAAAAACTCACAAACTCTTTACGTATCTCGGTTAAGTTTGACAAAGGAGCACCCTTACGTACGTACGTACATATGTATGTACAAACACATGTGAATGCTGGGCCGCTACACCTACATACGAAAGCCTTGCAACCAACACACCGGCACTGACACTTCCTTTTGTCTTTGGAGCTCTTTAATACTTTCGTTGCTGCTTGACTTCGGTGTCCGCCTTTTGTTGTTTTTGTTTGTTGCCAACTCTTTGTCTCTTCATTGTATTTTCTATGTGTTGCAATACCAGACAAAAGGTCGACACATACCCACCAACCGCCCAAGCGACCGACCGACCGACCGACCGGCTTAATTAATTTATGCACACACGGCAAACCCCCTGCCGCTGCCACCATTCGCTTTGCACCACCAACACCAACACCGCCTGCAAAGTGCCCGCCGTCCTTCCCTTGCCAAAGCGCTCGTCTAGAGTTTTGAATAGTTCACCAGCCAAATAAGCTAGCGAATGGTCATGCCACGAATATGCTCGTGTGCGTGTGTGTATTGCATGGGAATGAGGTATGCGGAGCTGAGACAGAGGTTGGAGCTCGTTTTTTCGTCTCTGGTTTGTTTGAAGTTTTGGAGTTGGAGGCCTTCATTCATTTCGAAAACGCGCCTAATTTTAAAATTAATGAGCAGCATTTTAATGGGCGATGCGTGCAGATAACAAACACACATTCATATATAAGTAAATGTACTCGTTTGTTTGTATGTCGAATTGTGACTGTGACTTGCCTGATTGCCTGCCAGTGAACCCTTCTGAATTGTCAAAGTAAATCACGTGTTTATTGGCACTTACGACACCAAAAGTAAACAAAGAATGGCAGGAAGACATGTGATGAGTGGGACCACGACGTTGCGCCAGAAAACGCACACACGTACAAAGTCCATGCGCCTGAGTGTATGTATGTGTAGTAAATGGTTGAAGACGACATTGGAGCACAAAAATATTGATCTGTGCGACAAATGAACATTGAAAGGCCGCTGGAATGCGAGTGGGTCATCATTAATTACACGGACAGACATCGCCCATATGGACAGACGGTTAGATAGACAGTTGGAGTTTTTTTTTTTAATGAAAATATGCTTAAAGAGACATTACGACGGGCTCGTCGAAGCCGGTTACCTGACCGACTGACCATTGAGTGGCCGCCGATTTGGCTGTGAGCTTGTTACTATATCAGAACAAAAAGCCGAAATATCTACAGTGGCGGGCCTGATTAATTTTTTATTTTATTTATTTAAATTTTTCCATTATTTATATATATTAAATTTAATCTAATTTAATTCTATTTTATTTTATATTATTTCATATTTATTTATTTTATTTTACTCAGTTTTATTTTATTTTTTTTTCTTTTTTATTCAAAATTTTTTTTAATATTTTTTTTATTTTATTTTTTTTTTTTGTTTAATTTTTTTCATTCTACTTTGTTTTATTTAATTTTTTTTTAATTTTATTTTACTAAATATTACACTATTTTTTTTTGTTTTATTACATTTCATTTTATATTATTTTAAATTATCTTATTTTATACTAAATTAATATATTTTACAAGGTTTTATTTTATTTAATTTACTTTATATATATTATATTTTATTATTATATTATATTATATTTTGGTTTTAATTTATTTTGTTTCATTTTATTTTATTTTAAATAAATTTATTTTACTTTCTTTTATTTTATTTTATTTCCTTTTTTTATTTGTTTTTGTTTTATTATTTTTTAAATTTTTTAATTTTATTTTCCGTTTTATTTTAGACAATTGTATTTCATTTGTTTCTTGTTATGTTATTTTTTTCTACTTATTTTATTTTATTTCTTTATTCCATTTAAGTTAATTTAATTTTATTTATTTGTTTATTCTGTTTTATTTATTTTTTATTCTATTTTAAATCATGTTTATTTATTTATTTTATTAATTTTATTTTGCTTTATATTTTTTATTTGGTGTGCTTAATTTTTTTATTGGTGGTCTTCTTTATAACGTAGCCAGCACTGTTTGCTCTTAAAGCGTATATGACATAACCATATATCTCCGGGCTACAAATCCGAAAGCATTTTAGATGAGTGTATTTAAGGTTTGACCGGAAACTTCTTATCTCAGTGAAGATCTTGGATGCTTGAAGCTGCAGAACTTCTGATACTCAGCCAAATAAAATAAAATACGTAAATGAAATAATAAAAAATAAAAATAAAAATAATGCAACCTTACCGTAAGATCCAGCTACAGCATCAGATACTCTGCCAGGTTGTCTCAGGTTGTCGCGCTGGCAATGCACTCAGGTGCCATTCATTCATTCATTTATTCAATCGTTCATTTATTTATTTTCATTTCATGATTTTATTTCAACGAGTTTCTTGCTTTGTACATACTTTGATCTGGTGCATAATATATAGACATGTGAGTCCATATATTGGACTATATATGTATGAATACGTTAATGTTTGTTGGTATTCAAATTCAACTGTAAGTCACTACATATGTATGTACATACATACATAGGCTTCGGCTTACAGTTCGGTTTGACGTTGTTTATTTATTTTTTAAATACTTTTTTCGAGGTTCATTCCTGGGAAAAAGGTTTTTGAAATCGATCACAAGATTTTTTGACTTGATTGCGCCGCCTTTTTGATTTTTATGTGCTAAGTTGCTCATTTGGGTTTCGAATTTTATCAGCTAAATCTTTGTTAGCTAGATTTGTGGGTATTTCGATTTTTCTCAGCTATGTTGCACGCAGACAATGTGGCAGCTGGATGGTGTTTGCGAGACAGGTTGGTTTTCCAATAGTAGATTGTATTATTCCAAGAGAACTGAAATAACTTTTAATTAGTTAATCAATATTATACATACAAAGTACCTTTTGTAGAGATGAATAAAATTAGTAAAAATTAGATAATAAAATGAAATGAAATAAAAAGAAAAATAAAATTAAATTAAATTAAATAGAAAACAGCGAAATTAAAATAAAACAAGTAAAAAATAAAATGAAAAATTAGAATTATTATCAAATAAAATTATCAAAGCAAAATCAATTAATTTTAAATAAAATAAAATAGCATGATATATGATAATATTAAATTAACGAATTTTATTTAAATTAAAATAAATTATAGTGTACAAAAGTGAAGTAAAATTAAAATAAAAAATTAATGCCAAAAAAATAAAAAAAAATTAAAAAATGAAGACAAATATAAATTTTATTAACTTAAATACATAAAGCCAAACAAAATTAACTACAATAAATTAAATTATACGAAGTTTAATTAAAATAAATGAAAGTTTAATAAAATAAGCTAAAATATTATAAAATATAATATAATAAAATAAAATGAAATGAAACAAATAAAAATAAAATAAAATAAATTTGAAAAATGAAATAAATTGATATAAAATAAAATCAAATAAATCAAACGGTTTTAAAAAAATAAAACACCTTGAAATAAAATACAATTAAATTATATTAAATTGAATGAAAAGGAATAAAATGAAGCCATATAAAAAAAAAATTAAATAAAACAAAATTTATTGAAATAAATAGAAATAAAGTAAAACAAAAAAAGAAAGTAATAAGAATATAATAACTTATATAAAAATAAATAAAATTAAATAAAATAAAATAGTACAAAATCAAGAAAAGTTAAAAAAATTAATCTAAATAAATTTTTATTTAATAAATTACAATAATATAAAATAAAACAAACGAAAATAATGAAACTAAAAAATAAATAACATAATATAAAATAAAATAAAATTATGTTAAATGAAATGAAAACTTATTAAATAAAATAATATAAAATCAAATAAAATAAATTAAAATCAAGTAAAATGAAATTAAATAAAGTTAAATTAAATTAATTATAATAAAATAAATTATTATTAGAAAATAAAGCAAAAAAATAAAAAGAATATAATAAAATATATAAAAGAATAAAATAAAACAAATAAACATAAAATCAAGAAAAATAAAATTAAATTATAATAAAATAAAAAAAATTAAAAAATTAAGAAAAATTAAACTAAATGAAACGAAAAAAAAATAAATAATTGCATAGATAAGTAAACAAAAATAAAAATAAGTAATGAAAAATTATTAATAAAATAAATAAAAGCATTAAAGTAAAATTAACAAATATATTAACTTAAATTAGCTTACATAAAATCGAAAATAATTAATAGTATTAATTAATAATATTGATAAAGCAACTCCTATCATTTCCTACACTCATTCGCAAAAAAAAAAAAATAAACAATTAAAAAATTTGATAAATGAATAAAAATTACTAAATCAAATCCTATGAAAAAAATTATTAAAACCAAAATATAAATAAAATTACAGATTCAAGTTCTAATGTCCACACAACTAAAATAATTTTTTACACGCTGTTTAATAGTCAATAATTTACCACAATCATTAATTTCTTTTTTATTATTTACTTACATATTTTCCCACCCTTAAAATATTTACGTTGAGTATTTTCGATTTACATGTATTTACATTAAGTTGTTTATGAATGTACGAGTATGTATGTATGTATGTATTTCGCTGAAAAATAAGTTCAAAAAATTTCTAAATTTAATTTCTTCTTTCCAACGCCACCCACGCACAGGACCTCCAGTTAATGGGTTTAGTATATTACATATAAAATTTACAACAACTCAAAGAATGAAAAATCGCTTACTCATGTTTGTTTCTCTTTCAGATCTCTATCAACATTCTCAACAGTATTCCCGCAATCTCTTCTACAGTAACAGCAACACCAATAATAATAATAATAATAATAGTAATATTGATCACAATAACAGCAGTAGCAGCACGCTGCAAGCACATTTTCCACATCTCCAACAACACCAACAGCTACAACAACATTCACAACATCTACAGCAGCATTCAGCATTAACGGCGCTCTCGCAACATGTTGCGGAAAGTGCGATATGGCAACAGCAACAGCAACAGCATCATCACCATCATCTGGCGCATTCATCACATTTACAACAATAATGCTGGCAGCTATGTATGTTGATTAGTAGTGGCGAAACAATTATAATATAAACAAATTGGGCAATTGTGCATATAAACCAAATGAATATTTATCTACTTATGAACAACAAAATAGCTAGAATTATTATATTATAAATTATAATTAAAAAAATAGACAAAAAAAAATAATTAACAAAATAATAAAATATAAATTATAAATTATAGAAAAATAAGCATTCAAAGTGCAGTAATTGAATTACTTAATGCAAAATTAAATTGTAAAAAAATGTATTATAAAGCAAGAAACCCCAAAAGATTACAATTTAGTATTTTAACAAATACTGTAAGTAGTTATGGCCTTTCGTCTATTTAATCAACCACTGTTGTTGGTATGTAAATGCATAATTACATAAGGAAATTGTTTATGACATAAATTGCTAATATATGTAAATATAATACATATATCTGTATATATATAAACACTAAAATTTTAATTGTTATGTTTATAAATTTTATTTATCTCTTTGTATCCATGTCTGTATATTTAAATTGCAACAAAAAGTATTCCTAAAATAATTATCAGTAAACTGGCAAAATGTTGCCTACAAAAATGGAGGATTTGAAAAAATTATTATTAAAGCACAAATTATCAAATCTGCGCTGCTGCAGGCCTTCTTTCTCTATCAATTTCGTCAGCGCGAAAAGTACGAGTGAAAAATTGGTCTAGTAAAATGTAATCCATTATTGTTGCAATAAGTGAATTAAGTCATCTTGCATTCTATGAGAGTGCTTGGCTTCGGCTAGATGGCGTTAGAAATATGTTATTTTGTAATAATAAAGATAATGAGAGATTATCGGCGATGTCACAGAAGGACACCAGCAAAGAGAAAATACGCCTTATTTCACGATTTGCCTTCGATAAACGCAAGCCAGGCAGCTGAGAATAAGAATAGTGTTTATGGTTCTGATATTGTAACAGCCATTCGGCCAAATGGCTTCGGCGATTGAGTGCCGGTAATTTTGATGTAAAAGATGCTGCCCAATTGAGAGAACAAATTGTCGAAAACGTTAATAAGATAATGAAAATCTCATTCGAATGAAAAGCGCTTAGCATGATCGTCTTTCGATCACTGTTTCGATTGCCTTGTAGCTAAATATTGCACGGAAAATAGTTGGAAATCAATTCAGAAAGACTGGGATTGAAAAGAAAGTTAGTGACTCTTTGGATACCTCGAAAGCTTGGTTGGATGGTTCTGTTGCATTCACCTTAAAGTACAAACCTCGCACCAAGTTTCTGTCTAGGACGAATGGTTTAGCTGATGAAGAAGTGGCCGCAAGAGAAGACTTTGAAAACAAATTGACCCAACTCTTTACCTTCAAAATTACAGAAAGTTATCGGGCAAGTCGTTGTATAATCAACATAAATCGGGCAATTTTAAATGTGGTAAATAAAGCCTTCGATCTAATGCAAACATAATGTATTTATTTTTACTAGACCAATATTATCGGTAGCCTTAAGAATATTAATACTTTTAATAGCTCCCAAAAGGAATGTTAAAAATATTATGAAAGGTTCTGGAAGTAAAATCAGAATCAGATCATAAGCAAAAAATTAGCTTGGGGTGTCGAAAATGTGGAAAAAATATAAGGCTCTTTCAGGGTTTAATTTTCGAATTCAAGCTCAAACCAAGGAGAATTCACACACGGTAGTAGCAGGAATACAAAAACGAAAATGCCGTGTATTTTGTTTGTGTTAACTTAGTTTTGAAAAGTCAAAAGCGAAAATCGTTCTATGTAAATATTTCGTTTGTGTAATTTGTTGAAATGGGAAGAAGAACAAGCATTCATATGATCTGACAACTTCGTCTTGGTAGTTTCACTTCTGATTTTTTTCAAAAATATCAACCAACTGACACAGAAAGATTTTTTGACTTTCGCTTTATTTTTGTGGTACCCATTTCATTAAAAAAAAAAACAATTTTCACTTTTTAAAATCAAAATAATATATTAAAAAAACAAGAAAACCCTTTCAATGGAAAAAATGTAGAGAAAAAAAACGTATCACAAGAAATTCGAAGGCTTTGCATTCTATTTTCTGAAATCTAATGGGAATAAAATTATTGGAAATTTTTTTATAAAAAATATATATATAAAATATTTTTAAAGTGACAATATCTTAAAGTTGAAATAAAAATAAGATATAATGTCAAAACATCTTGTAAATTGTATATTGGGTGATACCACCTTCCTTTTTTATATTATGGTATAAACTATGGGTCTCTCCAGGAGGAACTCTGCCGAATATCGCTTCAGCGGTTGCAAAACGCCAGCTACATATTATGCAGATTTAGTCTTTATTATATAGGAGCTGGCAAGTCAACTAAGCTGGCCACCCTGGCCGTTTTTTGTAAAAATTTGTAAGAGATGAGTGTTCCTTCTTCTTCTATTTCATTAAAAAAAAATTATACATAATCCGTAGCCATCTGCTTTTGTACTATTCAAGGCCAACAAGATTCTGCCAGTCTGGAAACTATATTTTTGAAAAGGTTATGTTGCTAACCGTACCCAAGGGTAGCTTAACCTTGCACTATAAGGTTCGGTAGGTGCAGTCTGCACGAAAATTTCGGATTTATTTAGTTGTATAATTCAAGCAAGGTTGTCTGAATTGGGAACAGTTTAAGTACAATGCTCATACCACAAATCTTGCAGCGAGATGCTGTTTAATGAAGATTCTGGGTTTTCAAAAATCCAATTTCTCATATTTTGCTCTTAGAAATTAGAATTAATTACGAAATTGCAAATTCATTTATAGATTTGAATATCGGTACGGATTTTTAATTAAATTTTTTTTTTTTTAAATAAATAACGTAGCATAATCCTAATGACAAGCAAAAATAGTCCACTCAAAAAATTCGTTTAAATTAGAGTATTTATTTTTTTATGGCCCTACTTGCATAATCTCACAATACAAGTTTATTGGCTGGCATAGGCGCCTCTTATGAAATTGCAGTGAAATTAATGTTAGTATGCCATTCTCCTTACAGAGGTCATCCTCTTCAAAAAACTTACATTTACCTGAAAATATTGCAATAGAATTTTTTAAATTTTTTTCGGAATATTTCGTATTTATGGAGAATTTCATTTATTTCCCTTTTATATATTTCTTGGTGTATTGACGAAAACTTTATACCTTCTTTGGAGATAAAGTGCAATAATTCGTCTACAACCACTGCCACAATTAAACTTTAACTTAAAGGCTAGAATATTTCCTAAAACAGTATTTTCACTCCTAAAATATTAGAAATAAGTCTGGGTGTAATATTAAGTGCAATTGCAAGTGCATTTTAAAGTATGTGTTTCGCCAATACTGCTGTTGTTATAAGAATATTTTTAATTTATTATATGTATATATTGGCATAACTTCACCTTTTTGAAATACCTCTTAGTCTTTACTATCCCAAAATACAAATTCTTCTTATCAACTTAGGTTGTCGCTAGTACTATAAAACTGACTGGAAAATATTTTCTTTACACGAACCAATTTTCTTTCCTTAAAGGAGGAAAGGCTATTGCCAAAAAAGCTGAGAAGTATTTCATAACAACGTTTTTTGAATTTGATATCGCTCTTTTTTAATGGAAAATTGTTGAGTTCTAATAATAAATTGTTAATATCAAATATTCTGTCTGCTCAAATCAAAATCATTGCACCAATAAATGAACTAAACGAATTTCTTAACACAAAAACTAACTATATAATACATAAACAATTATTTAAAATATGCCGAATTGAAAATAGGCAAATACCAATAAGTCTCTTAAATGGCGACATTCCCCAACCAATTTAGTATAGCACTAAAATTAAAGTAAACAATATTTAATTTCATTAAATTCAAATGAGCCTGCGCAAGTGAAGTGCCAAGTTCAAAGCACACATATGTATGTATGTATAAATACATATAAATGTATCTAAGCCTCTGCAAACATGCCGTACGTATGCATGTGTATGTGCCTGCAACCACAAAGATCGCTTTAGGTATGCATAAAATCGTAGCATAACTTTAGGCGGTTTCAGTAGAAAATGTGTAAGCACTGTAACATCCAAGAATTTCATTGCATGCATTTAGGCGCTAACTTATGTGTACATATGAAATGTTTTTAAATATTCCAATAAGACCAAGCATATTACTTGGTATTTTTTAGCCAACTCTAGTTAAAAGATATTTTATAATTTCAGCATAAGCCAGACGAATATTCTATTTTATTGATTTCGTGGCTGTAATTTCCAAGAAGACATCACATTAAAAACAAACATTTTACAAATCATTTCAAATTTTAAAATATGGCCTCAGATAAAGAATGATGATTATTGCAACGAGAGAAATGTTTACGCTCTTTCTGTGGAGACATCAGAAGTCATTCATCATTATTGAATTCGAATTAGGGAAAGTAAAAGACAATGAATTTACGGTAATATTATGAGCCAAAGACTTGGTATTTATTACTGATATTAAAATTTACAACGTAGTAAATTTTTTTGTCAACTGATTAGTGTTTTTTTATTTTCAAACAGATAATCTTTCTATTAACTAATTACAAATGAATCTCTTATGAATTTCATATGTATAATTACATAAGATTTTACCTGCAACTTCGTTCATATGGAAATTCAAAATATTTTTTCTGCAATATATCCATTCCTAGTCTACTTCTCGGAGAGAAAAAAAAATGTCCACATATTAACCTAGACTTATGAGCTATTTATATA